AGAAAATAATTTGCACCCAAAATTTTCAATAAGTGTACAGCTTTCTTAAATAACCCCCCCCCCAACAGATTTAGCAAATAAATGTCATGAAATAACCAAAAAGTACCTACCTATGTGGTGGACATGAAAGTCAAAGAAAATATTCCCTCAGGAAGTTTAAGTTTTAGTCAGGGGGAGAAATAAATTTGTGGGAATTACCATAAAGGCAAAGAACGTGCAGAAAAAAGACAAGATGAAAGTGTACTATAGGAAGCCATAGAGGAAATGATTCATAAAGCAAGCTCTGCCTTGAAGGAGGAGTCAAAATTTTATAAGACAACAAAAGTGAAAGCAATATTCAAGACGCAGAAAAATAGGTATACAGCCAATACACTGGGCTTGAGGGAGACAAGAAGTCTAACCTACTCAGCATTATGAGGAAAGTTGGAAAATAATGTACATAGGAAAGGTATAGATACATTATGGAGCTCCCTGAAAGCCACATAAAGGAGTCTGGAACTGCCAGATATTTAAAATGGGAAGGTGGGGAGCTTTATAAGGATGTGTTTCTTTTCTGTATTAATTACCTCACATTTTGCTTAATTATCTCAATATCTGATTCCTCATTAGGTGGTAAAGTTAAAGAGAATGAGCACCACATCTTATTTACTCATTACATCCCCTACATCTAGCATAGAGCATAATAAGCACTCAATAAATATTGACTGAGTAAATGAAGTGGAGAAGAGTAAACTAACTAATTATAAATATTAATCTGCAGTCATATTAAAGAAGTACTGCATATCTCATGTCACTACACCAAGAAACCTAGGTTAGTTTCCTCTCCCTACTGGGTAGAGAAGAAAATAAGGTCGCTGACTCAGAAAGGCAGGTTAGAAAATGGCAGGAGAAGAACATCCTCCTAACAGGTGGAGACAGGGGAGGTGGGAGGCCAATGAGATCATTACTGTCCTCCTAGTTCATAGGCGAGAGTCAATCAATACTGTCTAAAAGTGAAATATAATGTTCAACCACTTGAAAAGTTTTACATCATCTCTTCTCCTTAACCTCAGAGGAATCTCTGGGGAAATAACAACCCCTGGAGTGAAAAATCAGTTATTTGAAATTCAGCAATTTCTTCTGTCTCGCTAGTTTTTCTTTTCTATAAAATTCAGTTAGAATTTAAAATGGAAACTATATTATGATTCTATTTTTATAAAAGATATCTCCATATATCTATTCTTCTATCTGTTCATGCACAGAAAGATGTCTAGAATAATTCTCCTCAATGCTACTTTCAGATAGCTGGAGGATGAAAAGTAATGTATGAATGAACAGAGTAATGTATGGAATTGCTGAATCGCTATATTGTACACCTGAAACTAATATAATACTATATGTTACCTCCACTGGAATTAAAATTTTTAAAAATAATGTTGCTTTCAGAGTTAGGAAGAATTTCACTTTATTATAATTTAGTCTCCTGAATCAGTTAATTTCTCTATAATAAAGATAAATCATTGTTTGAAAAAGCAAAGGAAAACAGTGAAGATGACTTTCAAGAATGAGCAACTGAATAGACGGGTGGGCCACTTAATGAGATGGAAACAGGAGATTTATTTTGTTTTGTTTGTTTTTGTGGGAGGAGATCCAAGAGTTCAGTCTTTGAAATGTTAAGTTACTAACATCTGAGAAATGTATGAATTGACATGTTAAAAGAGTTGTATATTTGAGTCTGATAGCTCCAAATAATGGTTTAGACTAGGCCTATAAATTGTGGGGCACCTACCGACATAGGTAGGTGGATACTGTATATAAGTAGATGAACTTGGGGCAGAACAAAGAAGAAAAAAGTGCACCCACAACAAAGTCCTGAGTATTGCAAATTTCAGTGATGCTTACAGAATGCAGAAGAGAAAAAAGAGCAGCCATAGGAGTGTCACAGAAGCAAAGAGAACTTACACACAGAAAGAAATGGTTCACTATATCAAACACTGATAGTTGTAAGATAATTCAAAAGAGAAAAATCCATTACATTCATCAGCATAGAAGCTACAAGCAACTTGAGAAAGATGTGCAATTCTGACAGAGTTACAGAGTCAATGTCAAATCTAAGTGGGCTGAGGAGTAAAGAGAGGTAATCATGTGGGGACAGTTTACACAGATGTCTTGCTATATGGTGAGAGAAAGAGAAACAGGACAGTGACTTCACAGATGTGAGGTCAAGGGAAATTTCTTTTTGAGTGTGTTCCATTATAAGATGAAGCATGTGAAGGCATGTCTGCACCCAGATACCAAAATCAGAAAAGGATAGGTAGAAGTGGAAACAAAGAGAGGAGGAGGGCTAATCAAAGGAGCAGGCTTCTCATATATTAGTCATTTAAAACATAAGATTTGTAGGATCTTGGCAAATAAAAATTCAGAAATTTACATAGAATGTGATGCTACTGAAAAGTGAAAATCCATGTGCCACTAAGCCATATATTAGCCTCATCTAAGTGCTGTGGCACACCTACAGAAAGTGTATGAAACTTACCCTTATTCAGAGGGGAAAGATGAATGGAATAAGCAATGCTAAAGGTAGAAGGCAAATATGTTAATGAGATGATCTATTAAAGGGAATAGTACAATAAAGTTGTACAACTGGAAACAAAATCACTGTAGAAAGTAAATGATACAGGTAAGAATCCAAAAAACACACAGAAACATGAGATTTATATAGTACAAAGCTATTATCTAAATTATCACTATTGAACCACACTGGCCAACGCTAAACTGAAATTAGTAGAAGAAATTATGTAACTTCAAAAGTAGGACTTAAAAATATAACCAAATAGGGGCGCCTAGGTAGCTCAGTCGGTTCAGGTCATGATCATGGCTTGTGAGTTGAGTCTCGCATAGGGCTCTGTGCTGAACGCTCAGAGCCTGGAGTCTGCTTCGGATTCTGTGCCCCTCTCTCACTCTGTCCCTCCCCCACTCATGTTCTCTCTCTCTCTCTCTCTCAAGAATAAACATTAAAAAAATGTCAAAAAAATACAACCAAATATAAGGAGGATGAACTCTGAAATACAATGAAACAAATATATTGTCGAAGAACCGTTAACAAGCACAAAAAATAAAATACAACATTTTCCTCAGAAAAGTGACTTGGTCATTTTCTTTGTCTTAATGCTGATGTTGTAAACAGCAAATTACTTGGCAGCATGTAGAAGACTACTGGACTACTGAAAACATGAAGACAAAATTAACCTCCCAATAAAACACAAAACTCCTAGAAAACAAGCACAAGTAAGGACACACTTGAAGTACTACTGCTACTACATTCACTACTAACATTTTTGTAGTGCTTGCTACATGCCAAGCACGGTAGTAAGTCCTTTTAATTTTTCTTATGTAATTATCGTAATAACTCTGTGAGGAAAAGAATATAATTTTCCTTCATTTTACTGATGGATAACTGAGATCCCACCTCACACAACTAGCAAAGAGCAGACAGTCTGACTCCAGAGGCCATGTTGCTAACCTAACCACCACGCTACAAAACTCTAGTACACGATCAACAATGCGATGACAAAGTTTCTCATGTAGAACAAAATGACTCCATTTGGTTATTGTACTCCATTTGAAGAAAACACACACTATGCAAATTAACATTTTATTCCCAGAAGCATGTTACTTCTTGGATTGCTTTTTACAGGACTTAAAAATCATTTTGTTTTTAAACAAGAACTCTAGAGAAAAATACTATTCTTTATACGTAAAAAAAAAAAAAAAAACAGAAAATAAAACATTCACTCACTGTATCAGTAACAAGAGGCCAGAATCTATATTCTATAATTACAAAACTCAGAAATACACCTGCAATGCAAAAGGAGGTTCTACTGAATAGATTTTTCTTAGTATTCTTCATCACTGCTTGCTATATGTTATATCTGATACTATACATGAAAAGTTAAAATTTAATGTGAAAATACATCTTGAGATGAAGGACACACCATTCAAAGAACTATAATAGTTACAGTTTTTTCTACCTTCTTTAAACTAAAAAGTCCAAAAATGAAGCACAGCTATTAATGGTAAAAAAAACCAATTTGAGTATGTATTATATTATATACATGTATATATATATATACACACACTACCATCAGAAATTCTAATTTTAGAAAATTCTAATTGCTTTATTTCTTAGGTAGATCATTCTCACTGTCTCCCTCCCTGTTGTCTAAAAAAGTGACTTTGCTAGTAGAAAGGGGAAAAAAAAATCACAAACCTCTGAAAATAGAAAATGCCTTAAATAAAGCTGTTTTTAAAAGTGGTAATTTATAGATAGGAAAACAAATTAAAGGTCTATATACGACCAAAACGTTTACCAGAAAGATTTAAACCTCGGGAAACTGAAGTTAAGGAGTAATGGTTAACTTCAAGGAGCAAAATTTGAGCCTCAAGATAAATCATGTATTTTCAAGTCTCTATTATGGAAGGAATGCCATCAAATACAATCCCAGGGAAGCCCCAGTTGACTCCTGAGTAAACTGAAAAGTCTGCAAAATGCCTCTTTTTAAAGAGGTGTTTGTAACGTAAATTGAACAAAAGACATGGTAGTAACACAGAACCTAAACATAGCCAAAAGCCATAATATAAAAACCTAATAACTGTATTTATTTTATCTATGACATTACAAATTACTTTTAGACATCCTTAAAATTACCTTATTTTAAATATTTTTTGGAAGTATATAGAATATATGCTTGACTGTTCTGCAAGATAGAAAATATATCTCAAGGGGCGTCAGGGTGGCTCAGTCAGTTAAGTGTCCCACCCTTAGTTGTGGCTCAGATCTGTTTGTGATCAAGCCCCGCATCAGGTTCTGTGCTGACAGTGTAGAGCCTGCTTGGGATTCTTTCTCTCTCTGCCCCTCCCTCCCTCTCTCATGCTTGCACTCTCTATTTCACCAAATAAAAAAAAAAAATTAAAAAAAAGAAGAAAAGAAAATGTATCTCAGGTAAAATTTAGCACCTTACCTTAGACCAAAGATGTGTGACTGTTCATAGTTGAATAAAGAACGAATCTTTGCTTCTGAATTCAAAAGTATAAGTCGATCTATAATATCCTGAAAAAGAAAGACTTGGAGTGAGAATATGCTGGACAAGTCATTTAAAAAAAAAAAAAAAACAAATCAACAAATATTTATTTAGATATTTGGTTCTCAAACTTGGCTTTACATTTGATCACCTAGGTAGAAAAAAAAAAAAAGTTATTAAATGCCCAAGTCTCACCTCTAGAGATTCTGAATTAATTGGTCTGGGTGTGTCTAGACATTAAGATTTGTCAAAGCTCTTGAAATGAGTCATCTAATGTTTACCCAAAGTGGAGAATCACTAGTTTATACCCCATTCTGCTAATCTGTGAGCAACTTATGCAGCCAGCTAAATACTGATTACACTGCTGAAAATGTAAACTAGTCTGAAAACCAAATATGAAATCTACAAGATTTCATGTGAAGCATGAACAGTGGGCTGCTAGTTTTATCTAGTAGCTATCTGAGATTTTGTTGATAGTCTCTCCACATGTAAATCAGTGGTTTCCAACCCTCGTTGAACATTGGAAGCACTTAGAGAACTGTAAAAAAAAAAAAAATTATATAATTATATATAAATATACATATATAAATAATGCCCAGGCTCTACCCCAGCAAGTCACTATCCTTGGGAGTTAAGATTCTGGCATTCATATCCTTTTAAAAGATTCCCAAGTTGTTACGATGTGTAGACAGGCTTAAAATCATGATGCAAGTGCTGAGAGAATCAGATGAGCCAGGTGCTACCTGCCATCTCAAGCACTGACAATAGTAAGCCTACAATGTGCACAGTTTCAAGCACTCCCTAAAAGTCTTTCTTTTTATAATGCTCTGCTTTGTGTAGATCTTTGGGTTTAGGCCTAAGAAATGTATTCGTAGGGGCACCTGGGTGATTCAGTCAGTTAAGTGTCTGACTTTGGCTCAGGTCATGATCTCCCAGTTCGTGGGTTTCAGCCCCGTGTCGGGCTTTGTACTGACAGCTCAGAGCCTGGAGCCTGCTTTGGATTCTGTGTCTCCTTCTCTTTCTGCCCTTCCCATGCTCATGCTTTGTGTCTCTCTCGCAAAAATAAATTAAAAAAAAAAACATTAAAAAAAATTTATTCATAAATAAGTACTTGTCTCTCTCATTGTTCATTTTCCTGACCAAGAAACTTGCCACCCTCCAGTATGTTCAAACTGAAGACATTTCCACGACCAGTAAGATAAAAGGAAGGTTTTGCTAGGGAGTAAAGTGATGTAATATTGACTGAGGTCTATGTAGATGACAGTGCAAATGTCGTAACATCAAATAAGAGGCATGGAAATGACTTTGCAAGGATGAGGAAGTAATGAATCTCTGAAAATAACATTTGAAAAATACTAATTGAAACAGTAAAAACTGGATTTAGTGTCAACTTGTACAGTAAAGGTTTATACATAACACTCAGGAATGCATTTATTACCATTCTACAGATATCTAGTAAAAATGTGTAAATACTAGCACAAGAGTTTACAATCAGCAAATATTAAATCAGCTGCCTAACAAGAATAACAAGATTACTATCTTAAAATCTGTGATTTTTGTCTGCTTCTTAGTTGGGCGTTCCTTGTTTCAAACATGACAGAACATGAGCTAAGTAACTCATTCATATTCCCAGCTTCATATTCAGATTTTCAATAATTTTCCCACTCTCTCCTTTTTCCTAATTTCTTCTCTGACAGTCTTGTTTAGCTACGGTGATGGAGCCATGGAGTTCTCCTTGACTTCTCAGCCACCTGGATACTATTATGTAGTCTCTGTAGTGTACCTATGGAGAAACTTGTTTGCTATGTGTTCCTATATTTTTACTGTTTAAAATAATTTAAGAAATGATTATCACTGTTTTTATTATAGTCTTCACAGATTAATCTAGAATTACGTATCACTGGCTTTCTCTTACCTAAGAGAAGAGAATCTGCCAGTCTGTTCTATGCATAGAAGCTTCTGGAAGTATTACTATTGATTTCTCTTCATTAGTAGGATACTAGCATAGGTGACTGAAATTTGTCCAATCATCTGAACACTAAGCTCACTAAGACTTTGACAGCCAGTGATACTCCGGGACTCTATATAAAGTTGTAGTTTCAAATCTTAAGTACTAGATATTTTAAGAATAAAAGAGATAAAGAATGTATTATCAGCAAGCTAATGGAAGAGTAGATTGCAGTGATCTATCAATGATAATGCATTTTCAGAGAACAAATGTTACGGTAAATAATTTGTTCTTTAAAGAGGATTACATTGATGGATCACCACTTAGGGAAGAAAATTAAACTCCCGAGAAGCCTGCCTTATGGAGAACTTCAGTTTCTAAGCTCTGCAACGTGTGTCAATAAGGCAATCAGTTTTCTAAATCAAGCAGCAGCTTCCCAACAAAGAGCCAATGCAAGTAACACTTTGGACTCTCTCTCTCTCTCTCATACTCACACTCACACTCACACACACACACACACACACACACACACACACACAGAAGAAAAAAAGAAGAAGAAAAAGAAAAAAAGAAAAAGGAAAACAAGTCTGAAACTCTTTAAAGGATACTGTCCAGCTGGAGAATAAGTTCAATAGGACAAACTGAGACCAAGAGTAGAAAAACAAAGGAATATCCATTCACATAAATACATACATGTTTGCCCGCTGTTTACATGTGTCCCAATGGCCATGTTTGTGTTATCTGACCCTTTTTACTTCAGAAAGAGATAAGTGAAAGAGGAGGAGGGGGCACCCGGGTGGCTCAGTCAGTCATGATCCCAGGGTTATGGGATCAAGCCCTGCACCGGCTCTGCACTGAGCATGGAGACTGCTTAAGATTCTCTCTGCTCTCCTCTGCTCTTCCCCTGCTTTCTCTATATAAAATTTAAAAAAAAAAAAAAAAAAAAAAAAAAAAAGGCGTGGGGTAGGTCGATCAAAATGTCAGTATTTCTGCACCTGCACCATTAGAAGTGGCTTGTGACTGGTTAGCCCAGGCACATCCATCAACAAAACTCAACCTGTAAGGTTCTTCCTTGGGATTTTTCAACTCAGACGGGTCTCAGTACATTCTGGCTACTATAACAGAGTACCATAGGCTGGGTGGTTTATAAACAACAGAAATTTTATTTCTTATAGTTCTGGATGCTGAGTAGTCCAAAAATCAAGGCACCAGAAGATTTTTTTTCCTGGCAAGGATCCACTTTCTAGTTCACAGTCCTCTTTTCACTTTGCCCTCACATGGCAGAAGGGATGAGCAATTTCCCTGGAGTCTTTTTTTTTTTTTTAAAGGCACTAATCACCTCCGAAAGGCCCACTTCCAAATATCACATTGGGGATTAAGTTTCAAAACACAAATTTTGGGGGTATACATTCAATCTATAGCAGGGAGGTAGAGGAAAAGGCCACTCTCCTGTTTGGTGTCATACTGAGCTAAACTGTGACTCCAACAAACGATACATCCATATCCTAATCCAAGAGTAGAAAAACAAGGAATAACTTATGACTGTTCCCTATTTGGAAAAAGTGTTTTCAGAAGTAATTAACAATTCTAAAATCATCCTAGATTAACCCAAATAGGCCTTAAGACTGTTAAAAAACATCCCTATAAGAAGAAGACGAAGGGAAATTTAAGGCAGAGAAAGGAGAAAGCCCTGTGAAGATGGAGGCAGAAACTGGAGTTATGTGGTAATAAGACATGAAATGCCTGGAACCAGAAGCTGGAAGAGGCAGAGAAGGATTCTCCCCCTGGAGTCTTTGGAGGGAATGTGGCCCTATAACACCTGGACTCTAACTGTAACAGAATAAATTTCTGTTGTTTTCAGCTACATAGTGTGTGGAATTTGTTACGGCAGCCTTAGGAAACAAGGACAAGGGGAGATGGTGAAGATGTCAGTACAGAGTGACAGGTAGTCCCATGTACTCTCCAACAGAGAACACCATCTGGAGAAGAAAGCACTAATGATAATTACAGCAGACAATTATATAGCGTTTTTTTATATGCCAAGCAGTGATTTAAACTTTTATATTTCATTTAATTCTCACAACAACCTTGGGATAGGAATGTTTACTGCCCTCTTTTAACAGAAAACTAAAATTTATCTTGTCTGAAGTGACATAGCTTATAAAAGGCAGAACTGGTGATCTAATCCAGGCAGTCTGGCTTCAGAATGCAATCTTTTAACCACTACACTATGTACAGCTTTCAATAAAACCAAGATAGTGGGCGGTAACAGGGCAAGTGGACATAGAGAGACAGACAGAGGTGGACCTGACTACATTCAAAGTTCTATTTCTACTTGTCCCTGTTTTTTGTTTTGGTTTTTGTACTGTGGCATAATGAAGTCCACAAGTATTTTATTTAGCATATACTGCACATCTACTCTGTGCCAAGCATTATGCCAAGTACTGCAAACATATTCTTATCATTGAAAAAAGAGCTGAAAGATCATGTACTACAACCATCCAAAGGTCCTTGGATCCGATTTACATTAATTCCACCAAGAATAACTCAGGATGAGGAACTCACAGAATCCCAAGGCAGTCCACCCCACTTTAGTCAGCTCCGACAATTAGCAAGTTCTTCCTTCGGTTAATTCATTGTTTACACTCCTCAGTTATGTTAAGGGAACTATAATTAGCTAATATGGATTACTCCTGTCACTTGTACTGGCATCTTTGTTTCCCAGCTATTTCTCACCTTGCAAACACACAAGCTGCAGATATTGTTTAGATCTGGAAAATTGTGAGTCAATAAATTTCCTCTTCTGCTAAAACTAATTCAAACTGAGTTTCTCAATAACCAAAGGGGCCCCACCTAATACATCATTTATTTAACTGCAAATTAAGTGATAGGAACTGAAAAGCAATCAAAGATTGTATGTGTTAGAGGGAAAGAGTATTTTGTGTCATTGACCTTTAATTTACTAAAGTACAACTTGAAAGTTGTTTGTAGGACCTAGAATTTTGGTAGATAATTGATATGAAATCGTGAGAAGTTAAGGCCTAACATCCCCAAAATATAATGAATTCCTTAAAACTAAGA